CTCATTTATGTATCTAAAAAATGTTTTATCCCCCTTTTTTTTACTGACTGTGCTATTTTCTCTTCTGTGTGTGATTTGGAAGCTCTTATAACTTAGCCTCTTTCTGCCTAATCTTATAGATCATTTTGTCTTCCTCACTCTGTTTTTTTTTTTATAATTCCTAAATGCTAACTTTTTGTTTTGAACTATTTTGGCCACATCTGCCGAGTACCACAGTGGTTTCTTGAATTTTTTGCTTTTACTGACAAGCCTAATGCAATTTTCTGTTGCCTTCAATAGTGCAACTTTTAAATAATCCCATTTCTCTTGGACTCCATTTAAATTGCTCCAGTCTGATAATGACTCCTCTACCCATATTCTAATTTTAGAAAAGTCTGTTTTCTAAAGTCTAAAACTTTTGTTTTTGTGTGGTGTGACTCAGTCACTGTTCTTATATTAAACCACACTGACTGATCACTGGATCCTAAACTTTCACCTACAGTAATATCTGATACCAAATATCCATTTGTTAACACTAAGTCTAGTATGGCCTCTTTACGAGTTGGCTCCTCAACAACTTGTTTTAGAGACAATCCCAGAAGGGAGTTTAGAATATGTGTTCTCCTGGCACAAGTAGCTAATTTTATTTTCCAATTCACATCAGGAAGATTAAAGTCACCCATGATGATAACTTCCCCCTTCATTGTCATTTTAGCTATTTCCTCAACTAGTAGATTATCTAACTCTTCAATTTGTCCTGGGGGCCTATAAATGCCTACAGTTACTGTGTGATTACCAAATTCTAACGTAGCCCAAACGGACTCTGTTTGCCTCACTAATGTTTATTAGGCTAGATTTTATGCTATCCTTCACATACAAGGCCACCCCTCCCCCTTTCTTGCCTTCCCTATCTTTCCTATATAAAGAGTACCCTGGTATTGCTATGTCCCAGTCATTTTTCTCATTGTGTACCATGTCTCAGTAACAGCGACTAAATCTACACTATCAGTTGCCATTATTGCCACAAGTTCATGGATCTTATTCCCTAAACTGCGAGCATTTGTAGACATGACTCTAAGCTTATCATTTTTTAACACACTTGCTACAGGCACCTTCTGTCCTTGTTTTTGGGGACAATTGGATTGATGTTTTATCACCCTTTTGCCCCCCCCCCCTAGTTTAAATACATCCCAGCAAAACCTCTGAACTGCTCACTGAGAACATTTGTTCCCTTTTGAGAAAGACGCAAACCATCTTTTTTGTACAGCTTATTTCCATTCCAAACAGAGCTACCATGAGAAATAAAGCCAAATCCTTGCTCCCGACACCATTCACCAAGCCACAAATTAAAGTCCCTAATACGCATCCGCCTGTCGTTCTGAGTGTTATGCACAGGCAGAACTTCAGAGAATGACAGTGTGGAAGCAACCTGCCGTATATCATTGGCAAAAACACTAAAAACTTCCTTAACCTCTGAAACCTCATTGCAAGCCAAGTCATTTGTCCCTAGATGGACAAGTACATCCAATTCCCCTTCCTGCTTTGCTTGCTTAACAATATTACAGATACGTCTCCTGTCTCTGTGAGCAGTAGCTCCGGGAAGACACCTCACAAGACCACCATTGTCCATCTCCACACCTCTTATAATGGAATCCCCCAACAACAACTGCTTTCTATTAGGCCTCACCATAGTCTCCAAGCCTCTCTCCACAACACCACTAGCCTCAGTGCCTCTCTCCACAACACCATTACACTCTGAAAGTGCAGAAAATGAATTATGAAGTGCAACAGACTGTGCAAAATGCCTTTTATCCACAACTCTAAGTCTACCAGATCCTACAGTAATCCATCTGCCTTTCCTAGTATGTCTCTGCGGCAGTGGCTTTGCAGCAGTTTTCTTCACCAGATAATTTACAAATCTCAGACTTCAAAAATACAATCTCCTGCCGCAAGATAGAGAACACAACAGCTATTGCCAGCGTATTGGTCAACATTTAGGTACAGTTGTTTGGCTTATCATAACATTGCAAATTGTATATTTTAGTGTAGGATTAACAAGAGTGATTTCAACCTGTCAGCTACGAGATATTGCAAACGAGCTATTCCATTAGAATACACATACTGAAACATAACATGTCTGTGCGCTTCATAAATAAACAAGGCTGAACAAGTTGCTGAATCTGCATAATTTCTAAAATAATCTGGATTTTTGAGTTAGATCTCTGTTGGATTAAGCAGGGGGTTTGGTGAAAATAGGCAAGCTATTATGTGAATGAGCAAAAAAGAAGAAAAAGGTACTATATAATCTCCCAACCAAGACAAGAGGAAACGTGCCAAAACACCCAACAGTGTACCTCACATACACCAATATAATATGAACAAAAAAGTAAATCTGTACTGTATAAAATACTAGTATAGATTAAAGGGGTAGCACAAAAAATATATACAACCTGTAGATAATACAAGAAACTTCCTTCACAAGATCTAAAATATAAGAAAAATCACAATAGTGAAGCATGTACAGTCAATGTATAATACACTCCCAGAGGTAGAGAACTTACAGGACCAAACTGTAGATCTGAACTTGTCTCCCTTCCATAGGGTATGTGGATAAAAAGTTCTTCTCTTAGGAAGCTTGTATATACGGACCAAAGGTGCAAATTCAAGACGCTCAATCCTCAGAAGAAAAAGAGGTATATAGAGCAGTATTGTAGATAAAAATTAATTTATTTATACAAAATGCACTTACATCAAATAAAATTCATAGCAGCATATCACCACTAACAAGTGGTACCCAGGAGAAAGAGTCTCTCTGTAGCAAAATATCCAACGCGTTTCGTCTTTTGAAAGACTTCTTCAGGGATAAAGAATTAAAAATTCTGTTTTCTTTATATAGCCTTCACCATTTGAAATTGCCGCGGAAAATTCATTCACTTCCGGGTTCGGACTTCTCGATTTTTGATTGGACATCCATCGTGATCACTTCCGGTGGATGTAACAAGATGTTTTTATTTCCGCGTTCCAAGCTGGAACGCATAGCGTCCATAACGTGCGGCTAGATGTATTCATTTTCGCGTTCCAAGTTGGAACGCATGGCGTTCATAACGTGCGGCTCTATGCCATGACACTTCCGCGTTCCACCGTGGAACGCACGGACAGACCCAGGCGCACAAGTTGCATTTGGGGCACCGAACGTCCCAGAGTGGGACACAGAGAGAAAATACCAATGACCATCTAGTTACATAATATACAAAACAAAGAAATATAAAAACAATAATATGTCTGTCAAAATATGGATAACATCCAAGTACTATATAAAACACAAACTAAAAAATACATAATATAAACATGTATATGTATATAGAAGAATAGAGCATATATATACCCAAGTCTCTATCTAAATATACATCCATATCTAAAAACCATACCTATAAAGATATATATAAATAAAGAAAAAAACTAAATATAAAAATTCAAACATGTTACATAAATTACAAAAGGCCCGCCAGATCAATATCTTGATTAAGACCTCTCTTAAGGGTATTAAGTGTGTAAATCCAAAAGGCCTCTTTTTTGGCTAGATCATTAGTTCTATTTCCCCCTCTCCAATGGGGAGTTACTTGATCTATACCAATAGCAATAAAGGTAGACCAATCAAAAAGATGACAAGAATTGCAATGATTTGGGACACTATGTTC